GCGCCCGGTCGCCGCCCGTCGTCTGGGCATGTCTGCCAATCTGGCGGCCATTTGGAAGGTGAAAGGGGGGAGGGTCCGCCGTCCGCGCGAAAACGATCCGCGCGAAAACTGCTGCCGTTCGAAAGAAATTCGCTGGGCGCGTGCGCGCGAAAAGGTGCGCGCCGGTTCCTGGCGTTCCCGCGCGCCCCGCGGCTGTCGGGAACCAAGATTTTGCAACGCGGCGCAAGGCGGCGGCCGCCGCCTCCGCGGCGCAAGGCGGCGTCGACGCCAGGGGCCTACGGCGGCCCAGAGGAGGGCGGGAACCAGGATTTTGGAGAGATCGAGGCTGGAAAAGCCCAAATTCTCGGTTCCCGGCTCTGTCTGGCGCCCCAGGGACCCACGGCGGCCTAGAGGGCAGGGACCAGGATTTTGGAGAGATCGAGGCTGGAAAAGCCCAAATTCCGGGTTCCCGGCTCTGTCTGGCGCCCCATGCAGGGACCTACGGCGGCCCAGAGGATGGCGGGGACCAAGATTTTGGAGAGATCGAGGCTGAAAAAACTCAAATTCCGGGTTCCCGGCTCTGTCTGGCGCCCCAAGAACTCACGGCGGTCCAGAGGATGGCGGGAACCAGGATCTTGGAGAGATCGAGGCTGGAAAAGCTCAAATTCCCGGTTCCCGACTCTGTCTGGCGCCCCAGGGACCCAGAGGATGGCGGGAACAATGATTTTGGAGAGATCGAGGCTGGAAAAGCTCGAAATACCGGTTCCCCGCTCTGTCTAGCGTCCCAGGGACCCATGGCGGCCGAGAAGATGGCGGTAACCAGGATTTTGGAGAGATCGAGGCTGGAAAAGCTCAAATTCCCGGTTCCCGGCTCTGTCTGGCGCTCCAGGGACTCACGGCGGCCTAGAGGATGGCGGGAACCGATGCGGGAACCTGGATTTTGGAGAGATCGAGGGAAATCCTAAGTTCCCGGTTCCCGGCTCTGTCTGGCGCCCCCGGGACCCACGGCGGCCCGGAGGATGGCGGGAACAATGATTGGAGAGATCGAAACTGGAAAAACCCGAAATCCTGGTTCCCAGCTCTGTCTGGCGCCCCAGGGACCCACGGCGGCCCAGAGGATGGCGGGAACAATGATTTTGGAGAGATCGAGGCTGGAAAAACCCGAAATCCCGGTTCCCGGCTCTGTCTGGCGCCCCAGGGACCCACGGCGGCCCAGAGGATGGCAGGAACCATGATTTTGGAGAGATCGAGGCTGGAAAACCCAGAAATCCCGGTTCCCGGCTCTGTTTGGCACCCCAGGGACTCACGGCGGCCCAGAGGATGGCGGGAACCAGGATTTTGGACAGACCGAAGCTGGAAAAACCCAAATTCCCGGTTCCCACGGCGGCCCAGAGGATGGCGGGAACAATGATTTTGCAGAGATCGAGGCTGGAAAAGCCCGAAATCCCGGTTCCCGGCTCTGTCTGGCGCCCCCGGGACCCACGGCGGCCCAGAGGATGGCGGGAACCATGATTTTGGAGAGATCGAGGCTATCCCGGTTCCCGACTCTCTCTGGCGCCTCAGGGACTCACGGCGGCCCAGAGGATGGCGGGAACCATGATTTTGGAGAGATCGAGGCTGGAAAAGCTCAAATTCCCGGCTCCCCGCTCTGTCTGGCGCCCCAGGGACCCACGGCGGCCTAGAAGATGGCGGGAACCATGATTTTGCAGAGATCGAGGCTGGAAAAGCCCGAGATCCCGGTTCCCGGCTCTGTCTGGCGCCCCAGGAACTCACGGCGGCCCAGAGGATGGCGGGAACCTGGATTTTGGACAGACCGAGGCTGGAAAAACCCAAATTCCCGGTTCCCGGCTCTGTCTGGCGACCCAGGGACCACGGCGGCCCAGAGGATGGCGGGAACCATGATTTTGGAGAGATCGAGGCGGGAGAAGCCTGCTCTCTGCTGCTGTGCTGCTCTGTGCTCTCTGCTGCTCTCTGCTGCTCTGTGCTGCTCTCTGCTGCTCTGTGCTATCTGCTGCTCTGCTGCTCTCTGCTGCTCTGCTGCTCTCTGCTGCTCTGCTGCTCTCTGCTGCTCTGTGCTCTCTGCTGCTCTGTGCTCTCTGCTGCTCTGTGCTCTCTGCTGCTCTGTGCTCTCTGCTGCTCTGTGCTCCCTGCTGCTCTGTGCTCTCTGCTGCTCTGTGCTCTCTGCTGCTCTGTGCTCTCTGCTGCTCTGTGCTCTCTGCTGCTCTGTGCTCTCTGTGCTCTCTGCTGCTCTGCTGCTCTCTGCTGCTCTGTGCTCTCTGCTGCTCTGTGCTGCTCTGCTGCTCTTTGCTCTCTGCTGCTCTGTGCTCTCTGCTGCTCTGTGCTCTCTGCTGCTCTTTGCTCTCTGCTGCTCTGTGCTCTCTGCTGCTCTGTGCTCTCTGCTGCTCTGTGCTCTCTGCTGCTCTGTGCTCTCTGCTGCTCTTTGCTCTCTGCTGCTCTGTGCTCTCTGCTGCTCTTTGCTCTCTGCTGCTCTTTGCTCTCTGCTGCTCTGTGCTCTACTCTCTTGCTCTCTGCTGCTCTGCTCTCTGCTGCTCTGTGCTCTCTGCTCTGCTGCTGCTGCTCTGCTGCTCTGCTGCTGCTCTGTGCTGCTCTGCTGCTCTGTGCTGCTCTGCTGCTGCTCTGCTGCTCTGCTGCTGCTCTGTGCTCTCTGCTGCTCTGTGCTCTCTGCTGCTCTGTGCTCTCTGCTGCTCTGTGCTCTCTGCTGCTCTCTGCTGCTCTCTGCTGCTCTGCTGCTCTGTGCTCTCTGCTGCTCTGTGCTCTCTGCTGCTCTGCTGCTCTCTGCTGCTCTGTGCTCTCTGCTGCTCTGTGCTCTCTGCTGCTCTGTGCTCTCTGCTGCTCTGTGCTCTCTGCTGCTCTGTGCTCTCTGCTGCTATGTCCAAACCCGATTGGTTTTCGCTCGATTGGTTTTCGCTTGAACGATCCACCCTCGGGCGGCGCGAGCTATCGGGCTCCCGTCGGCGTGCTATGGGCGACCGAGGGTCGATGAACCCCCCCCCGGAGCCTATCCCCCGCAAATGTGTCTTCGTCGCCTGGCTCGCGGGTCTCTGGCGGCCGTCGGGAACCATCCGGGCACCCCCGGACGCCTCTCGGCTAGCGCAGCTGCTGGTACGCATCCCGAGGCTGGAAAGTGCCGAGGACCCACGAAAGCATCCCCCCTGGGGCCCGAGACGAAGCACGGCGGCCACCCGATGTCTACAACCCGAAGGCGTCCGCGACGGTCTCGCCAGCCGAGGCCCCGCTCAGGAGCCGTCCGCCTGGCAGGGCCGCGTCGGCGCGGCCGAGCCCGGGGCCCAGCCTGCCCGCGCCCAGCTCGCCCGCCAGCCAGTCGCGCACGCCAGCGAGCGGCGCACCGGGCGCCACCCGCACCCGGCAGCGCTCCACCCCGCCCAGGGTCAGGAAGCGCACCTCGCCAGGAAGGGAAGCAGGCCCTCCAGCTTTCCGCTGTGACTTTCGCCTCCCCAGGCCCTCCACGGGCCCCAGGGCTGTCAGAAAACGGCTCAGGATGAAAGTCTGGTCCACGGGGGACGGCCCTCGGGACCCGCTTCCTTCATGCCAAGCACCGCGCCGCCGTCGAGCGACGCCTGTAGGAGCAGCGTCGCGCCGACGAGCACGCGCGCGGTGTACGTCAGCGCTCCGTCCAGCGCCGGCACGTGGCACTGGCCGGAGCCATTCGCGCCGAAGGCCACGGCCGTGCCGTCGCTCCTGAGCAGCACCGTGTGGCTGTCTCAGGGCCACGGCTCGAGCCGGGGCGGCCCACAGGGACCCCGCCCCTGGATGCCTGGAGGCACCTCGCGCGTGCCCGCGCCCCGTGATGCGCAACGTGAGGGGCAACGAGAGTGGGGCCTGGCTCACCAGGGGAGGGGGGACATCGACCTGGACTCGGCGGCACATCGCGGAGAGATCCGCACCAGGCCCCGACAAAGGAGCCCCATGTTCCTGGGCTGAGGGGCAACGAGTGGGGGCCTGGCTCACCGGGGGGGGCGACGTCGATCTGGGCTCGGCGACACATCGCGGAGAGATCCGCACTAGGCCCCGACAGCGAAGCCCCACGTTCCTGGGCTGAGGGGTGACGAGGGCGGGGGCCTGGCTCACCGGCAGGGGGATAACATCGACCTGGACTCGGCGACACATCTCGGAGAGATCCGCGCTGGGCCCCGATAGCGAAACCCCAGGATCCTGGGCGGCGCGAGCTATCGGGCTCCCGTCGGCGTGCTATGGGCGACCGAGGGTCGATGCATCCCCCCCCCGGAGCCTATCCCCCCAAATGTATCTTCGTCGCCTGGCTCGCGGGCCTCTGGCGGCCGTCGGGAACCATCCGGGCAGCCCCTGGACGCCTCTCGGCTGGGCGCAGCTGCTGGTGCGCATCCCGAGGCTGGAAAGTGCCGAGGACCCACGAAAGCATCCCCCCTGGGGCCCGAGACGAAGCACGGCGGCCGCCCGATGTCTACAACCCGGAGGCGTCCGCGACGGTCTCGCCCGCCGAGGCCCCGCTCAGGAGCCGTCCGCCTGGCAGGGCCCGCGTCGGCCGCGGCCGAGCCCGGCTCCGCCTGCCCGCGCCCAGCTCGCTGCCAGGCAGCTCGCGCACGCCAGCGAGCGGCGCACCGGGCGCCACCCGCACCCGGCAGCGCTCCCCCCCGCCCAGGTCGGAGCGCACCTCGCCAGGAAGGGAAGCGGCCCTCCAGCTTTCCGCTGTGAACTTTTCGCCTCCCATGCCCTACACGGGCCCAGGGCTGTCAGAAAACGGCTTCAGGGATGAAAGTCTGGTCCACGGGGGACGGCCCTCGGGACCCGCTTCCCTCATGCCAAGCACGCAGCGCCGTCGAGCGACGCCCTGTAGGAAGGTGCACCAGCGTCGCGCCGACGAGCATCGCGCGCGGTGTACGTCCGCGCTCCGTCCAGCGCCGGCACGTGGCGACTGGGCCGGAGCCATTCGCGCCGAAGGCGCCATTCGCGCCGAAGTCCACGGCCGTGCCGTCGCTCCGAAGAAGGACGGTGTGCTGAACAGCACCGTGTGGCTGCCTCCCGCGGCGACCTGCGTGTAGCTCAGGCCACCGTCCAGCGCCGGCACGTTGCACTGGCCGTGGTGATTCGCGCCGAAGGCCACGGCCGTGCCGTCGCTCCTGAGCAGCACCGTGTGGCTGTGTCCCGCGGCGACCTGCACGTAGCTCAGGCCACCGTCCAGCGCCGGCACGTTGCACTGGCCGCGGTAATTCGCGCCGAGGGCCACGGCCGTGCCGTCGCTCCTGAGCAGCACCGTGTGGCTGCCTCCCGCGGCGACCTGCGTGTAGCTCAGGCCACCGTCCAGCGCCGGCACGTTGCACTGGCCGTGGTGATTCGCGCCGAAGGCCACGGCCGTGCCGTCGCTCCTGAGCAACACCGTGTGGATGCATCCCGCGGCGGCCTGCGTGTAGCTCAGGCCACCGTCCAGCGCCGGCACGTTGCACCGGTCGTAGCCATTCGCGCCGAAGGCCACGGCCGTGCCGTCGCTCCTGAGCAGCACCGTGTGGCTGCCTCCCGCGGCGACCTGCGTGTAGCTCAGGCCACCGTCCAGCGCCGGCACGTTGCACTGGCCGCGGTCATTCGCGCCGAAGGCCACGGCCGTGCCGTCGCTCCTGAGCAACACCGTGTGGATGCATCCCGCGGCGACCCGCGTGTAGCTCAGGCCACCGTCCAGCGCCGGCACGTTGCACTGGTCGTAGTCATTCGCGCCGAAGGCCACGGCCGTGCCGTCGCTCCTGAGCAGCACCGTGTGGGTGTCTCCCGCGGCGACCATCCGTGGGCGCGGTCGGGAGGCCCGCGCGGGCTTCTGGGAGCGCTCGGGGCTCCGCGAAGGGCCACGGCTCGAGCCGGGGCGGCCCACAGGGACCCCGCCCCTGGATGCCTGGAGGCACCTCGCGCGTGCCCGCGCCCCGTGATGCGGAACGTGAGGGGCAACGAGAGTGGGGCCTGGCTCACCAGGGGAGGGGGGACATCGACCTGGACTCGGCGGCACATCGCGGAGAGATCCGCACCAGGCCCCGACAATGGAGCCCCATGTTCCTGGGCTGAGGGGCAACGAGTGGGGGCCTGGCTCACCGGGGGGGCGACGTCGATCTGGGCTCGGCGACACATCGCGGAGAGATCCGCACTAGGCCCCGACAGCGAAGCCCCACGTTTCCTGGGCTGAGGGGTAACGAGGGCGGGGGGCCTGTAGGCATAGGGGGGATAACTCGACCTGGAATCGGCGACACATCCTGAGGAGAGATCCGCACGGGCCCGATAGCGAACCCCAGGATCCTGGGCGGCGCGAGCCTGATCGGGCGCTCCCGTCGGCGTGCTATGGGCGACCCGCAGGGTCGATGCATCCCCCCCCCGGAGCCTATCCCCCCCCCGAATGTATCTTCGTCGCCTGGCTCGCGGGTCTCTGGCGGCCGTCGGGAACCATCCGGGCACCCCCGGACGCCTCTCGGCTAGGCGCAGCTGCTGGTACGCATCCCGAGGCTGGAAAGTGCCGAGGACCCACGAACGCATCTCCCCTGGGGCCCGAGACGAAGCACGGCGGCCACCCGATGTCTACAACCCCGAAGGCGTCCGCGACGGTCTCGCCCGCCGAGGCCCCGCTCAGGAGCCGTCCGCCTGGCAGGGCCGCGTCGGCGCGGCCGAGCCCGGGGCCCAGCCTGCCCGCGCCCAGCTCGCCCGCCAGCCAGTCGCGCACGCCAGCGAGCGGCGCGCCGGGCGCCACCCGCACCCGGCAGCGCTCCACCCCGCCCAGGGTCAGGAAGCGCACCTCGCCAGGAAGGGAAGCAGGTCCTCCTGCTTTCCGCTGTGACTTTCGCCTCCCCAGGCCCTCCACGGGCCCCAGGGCTGTCAGAAAACGGCTCAGGATGAAAGTCTGGTCCACGGGGGACGGCCCTCGGGACCCGTTCCCTTCATGCCAAGCACCGCGCCGCCGTCGAGCGACGCCTGCAGGAGCAGCGTCGCGCCGACGAGCAGGCGCGCGGTGTACGTCAGCGCTCCGTCCAGCGCCGGCACGTGGCACTGGCCGAAGACATTCGCGCCGAAGGCCACGGCCGTGCCGTCGCTCCTGAGCAGCACCGTGTGGAGGTCTCCCGCGGCGACCTGCATGTAGCTCAGGCCACCGTCCAGCGCTGGCACGTTGCACACCGCCGGCGCCATTGCGCAGAAGGCCACGGCCGTCCGTCGCTCCTGAGTCAGCACCTGTGGGCTGTATCCCGCGGCGACCTCGGCGCTTTGTAGCTTCAGGCCACCGTCCAGCGCCGGCACGTGGCACTGGCCGCGGTGATTCGCGCCGAAGGCCACGGCCGTGCCGTCGCTCCTGAGCAACACCGTGTGGCCACTTCCCGCGGCGACCTGCGTGTAGCTCAGGCCACCGTCCAGCGCCGGCACGTTGCACTTGCCGCGGTCATTCGCGCCGCAGGCCACGGCCGTGCCGTCGCTCCTGAGCAACACCGTGTGGCCACTTCCCGCGGCGACCTGCGTGTAGCTCAGGCCACCGTCCAGCGCCGGCACGTTGCACTTGCAGATCGGATTCGGGACCGCAGGCACGGCCGTGCCGTCGCTCCGGAGCAAACACCGTGTGGAGTATCCCGCGGGCCGACCCTGCGTGTAGCTCAGGCACCGTCCAGCGCCGGCACGTGCACTGGCGCAAAAGGACATTCGGGCCGAAGGGCCACGGCCGTGCCGTCGTTCGCTCCTGGCAGCACCGTAGTGGTTGCCTCCCTCGGCGACTGCGCGTAGCGAGGACACCGTCCAGCGCCGGGCACGTTTGCACTGGCCGCGGTCATTCCAGCCGCAAGCCACGGCCGTGCCGTCGCTCCTGAGCAGCACCGTGTGGCTGTCTCCCGCGGCGACCTGCGAGTAGCTCAGGCCTCCGTCCAGCGCCGGCACGTTACACTCGCCGTAGCTATTCCAGCCGCAGGCCACGGCCGTGCCGTCGCTCCTGAGCAAAGCACCGTGTGGCTTGCCTCCCGCGGCGACATGCGTTGTAGGCTCACAGGACACGTCCAGCGCCGGGCACGTTGACACTGGCCGCGAATCGAGCGGCGCGATTCGAGCCGAAGGTCCACGGCCAGTGCCGTCCGATCTGGCGAACTAAAGTGTCATGTGGAGGTATCCCGCGGCGACCTGCGTGTAGCTCAGGCCACCGTCCAGCGCCGGCACGTTGCACTGTCCGCGGTCATTCGCGCCGAAGGCCACGGCCGTGCCGTCGCTCCTGAGCAGCACCGTGTGGCTGTATCCCGCGGCGACCTGCGTGTAGCTCAGGCCTCCGTCCAGCGCCGGCACGTTACACTCGCCGTAGCTATTCCAGCCGCAGGCCACGGCCGTGCCGTCGCTCCTGAGCAGCACCGTGTGGCTGCCTCCCGCGGCGACCATCCGTGGGCGCGGTCGGGAGGCCCGCGCGGGCTCCTGGGAGCGCTCGGGGCTCCGCGAAGGGCCACGGCTCGAGCCGGGGCGGCCCACAGGGCCCCCGCCCCTGGATGCCTGGAGGCACCTCGCGCGCGCCGCGCCCGTGATGGCGCGACGTGAGGGGCAACGAGAGTGAGGGACATCGACCTGGCCTCGGGGCCTCGGGGCCACATCGCGGAGAGATCCGCACCAGGCCCCGACAATGGAGCCCCATGTTCCTGGGCTGAGGGGCAACGAGTGGGGGCCTGGCTCACGGGGGGGGGGGCGACGTCGATCTGGGCTCGGCGACACATCGCGGAGAGATCCGCACTAGGCCCCGACAGCGAAGCCCCACGTTCCTGGGCTGAGGGGTAACGAGGGCGGGGGCCTGGCTCACCCGCAGGGTCGATGCATCCCCCCCCCGGAGCCTATCCCCCCCCGAATGTATCTTCGTCGCCTGGCTCGCGGGTCTCTGGCGGCCGTCGGGAACCATCCGGGCACCCCCGGACGCCTCTCGGCTAGGCGCAGCTGCTGGTACGCATCCCGAGGCTGGAAAGTGCCGAGGACCCACGAACGCATCCCCCCTGGGGCCCGAGACGAAGCACGGCGGCCACCCGATGTCTACAACCCGAAGGCGTCCGCGACGGTCTCGCCCGCCGAGGCCCCGCTCAGGAGCCGTCCGCCTGGCAGGGCCGCGTCGGCGCGGCCGAGCCCGGGGCCCAGCCTGCCCGCGCCCAGCTCGCCCGCCAGCCAGTCGCGCACGCCAGCGAGCGGCGCACCGGGCGCCACCCGCACCCGGCAGCGCTCCACCCCGCCCAGGGTCAGGAAGCGCACCTCGCCAGGAAGGGAAGCAGGTCCTCCAGCTTTCCGCTGTGACTTTCGCCTCCCCAGGCCCTCCACGGGCCCCAGGGCTGTCAGAAAACGGCTCAGGATGAAAGTCTGGTCTACGGGGGACGGCCCTCGGGACCCGTTCCCTTCATGCCAAGCACCGCGCCGCCGTCGAGCGACGCCTGCAGGAGCAGCGTCGCGCCGACGAGCACGCGCGCGGTGTACGTCAGCGCTCCGTCCAGCGCCGGCACGTGGCACTGGCCAGCGCATTGGCCGAAGGCCACGGCCGTGCGTCGCTCATGAGCAACACCGTGTGGCCATTTCCCGCGGCGACCTGCGACAGCGTGGAGCTCAGGCCACCGTCCAGCCCGCCGGCACGTTGCACTGTTCGTAGCAATTTCGCGTACCCACGCCCATTGCGGCCGTGCCCGTCGCCTCCTGAGCAGCCACCGTGTGGCTGTCTCCCGCGGCGACCCTGCCGGTAGCTCAGGCCACCGTCAGCGCCGGCACGTGCACTGGTCGAAGACATTCGGGCCGAAGGCCACGGCCGTGCCGTCGCTCCTGAGCAGCACCGTGTGGCTGCCTCCCGCGGCGACCTGCGAGTAGCTCAGGCCACCGTCCAGCGCCGGCACGTTACACTCGCCGTAGCGATTCCAGCCGCAGGCCACGGCCGTGCCGTCGCTCCTGAGCAGCACCGTGTGGCTGCCTCCCGCGGCGACCTGCGTGTAGCTCAGGCCACCGTCCAGCGCCGGCACGTTGCACTGGCCGCGATTCGAGCCGGCGCGATTCGAGCCGCAGGCCACGGCCGTGCCGTCGCTCCTGAGCAACACCGTGTGGAGGTATCCCGCGGCGACCTGCGTGTAGCTCAGGCCACCGTCCAGCGCCGGCACGTTGCACTGTCCGCGGTCATTCGCGCCGAAGGCCACGGCCGTGCCGTCGCTCCTGAGCAGCACCGTGTGGCTGTATCCCGCGGCGACCTGCGTGTAGCTCAGGCCTCCGTCCAGCGCCGGCACGTTACACTCGCCGTAGCTATTCCAGCCGCAGGCCACGGCCGTGCCGTCGCTCCTGAGCAGCACCGTGTGGCTGCCTCCCGCGGCGACCATCCGTGGGCGCGGTCGGGAGGCCCGCGCGGGCTCCTGGGAGCGCTCGGGGCTCCGCGAAGGGCCACGGCTCGAGCCGGGGCGGCCCACAGGGCCCCCGCCCCTGGATGCCTGGAGGCACCTCGCGCGCGCCCGCGCCCCGTGATGCGCGACGTGAGGGGCAACGAGAGTGAGGGACATCGACCTGGACTCGGCGGCACATCGCGGAGAGATCCGCACCAGGCCCCGACAATGGAGCCCCATGTTCCTGGGCTGAGGGGCAACGAGTGGGGGCCTGGCTCACGGGGGGGGGGGCGACGTCGATCTGGGCTCGGCGACACATCGCGGAGAGATCCGCACTAGGCCCCGACAGCGAAGCCCCACGTTCCTGGGCTGAGGGGTAACGAGGGCGGGGGCCTGGCTCACCCGCAGGGTCGATGCATCCCCCCCCCGGAGCCTATCCCCCCCCCGAATGTATCTTCGTCGCCTGGCTCGCGGGTCTCTGGCGGCCGTCGGGAACCATCCGGGCACCCCCGGACGCCTCTCGGCTAGGCGCAGCTGCTGGTACGCATCCCGAGGCTGGAAAGTGCCGAGGACCCACGAACGCATCCCCCCTGGGGCCCGAGACGAAGCACGGCGGCCACCCGATGTCTACAACCCGAAGGCGTCCGCGACGGTCTCGCCCGCCGAGGCCCCGCTCAGGAGCCGTCCGCCTGGCAGGGCCGCGTCGGCGCGGCCGAGCCCGGGGCCCAGCCTGCCCGCGCCCAGCTCGCCCGCCAGCCAGTCGCGCACGCCAGCGAGCGGCGCACCGGGCGCCACCCGCACCCGGCAGCGCTCCACCCCGCCCAGGGTCAGGAAGCGCACCTCGCCAGGAAGGGAAGCAGGTCCTCCAGCTTTCCGCTGTGACTTTCGCCTCCCCAGGCCCTCCACGGGCCCCAGGGCTGTCAGAAAACGGCTCAGGATGAAAGTCTGGTCTACGGGGGACGGCCCTCGGGACCCGTTCCCTTCATGCCAAGCACCGCGCCGCCGTCGAGCGACGCCTGCAGGAGCAGCGTCGCGCCGACGAGCACGCGCGCGGTGTACGTCAGCGCTCCGTCCAGCGCCGGCACGTGGCACTGGCCAGCGCCATTCGCGCCGAAGGCCACGGCCGTGCCGTCGCTCCTGAGCAGCACCGCGTGGCTGTCTCCCGCGGCGACCTGCGTGTAGCTCAGGCCACCGTCCAGCGCTGGCACGTTGCACTCGCCGGCGCCATTCGCGCCGAAGGCCACGGCCGTGCCGTCGCTCCTGAGCAGCACCGTGTGGCTGTATCCCGCGGCGACCTGCGTGTAGCTCAGGCCACCGTCCAGCGCCGGCACGTGGCACTGGCCGCGGTGATTCGCGCCGAAGGCCACGGCCGTGCCGTCGCTCCTGAGCAACACCGTGTGGCCACTTCCCGCGGCGACCTGCGTGTAGCTCAGGCCACCGTCCAGCGCCGGCACGTTGCACTTGCCGCGGTCATTCGCGCCGCAGGCCACGGCCGTGCCGTCGCTCCTGAGCAACACCGTGTGGCCACTTCCCGCGGCGACCTGCGTGTAGCTCAGGCCACCGTCCAGCGCCGGCACGTTGCACTTGCCGCGGTCATTCGCGCCGCAGGCCACGGCCGTGCCGTCGCTCCTGAGCAACACCGTGTGGAGGTATCCCGCGGCGACCTGCGTGTAGCTCAGGCCACCGTCCAGCGCCGGCACGTTGCACTGTCCGCGGTCATTCGCGCCGAAGGCCACGGCCGTGCCGTCGCTCCTGAGCAGCACCGTGTGGCTGTATCCCGCGGCGACCTGCGTGTAGCTCAGGCCTCCGTCCAGCGCCGGCACGTTACACTCGCCGTAGCTATTCCAGCCGCAGGCCACGGCCGTGCCGTCGCTCCTGAGCAGCACCGTGTGGCTGCCTCCCGCGGCGACCATCCGTGGGCGCGGTCGGGAGGCCCGCGCGGGCTCCTGGGAGCGCTCGGGGCTCCGCGAAGGGCCACGGCTCGAGCCGGGGCGGCCCACAGGGCCCCCGCCCCTGGATGCCTGGAGGCACCTCGCGCGTGCCCGCGCCCCGTGATGCGCGACGTGAGGGGCAACGAGAGTGAGGGACATCGACCTGGGCTCGGCGGCACATTGCGGAGAGATCCGCACCAGGCCCCGACAATGGAGCCCCATGTTCCTGGGCTGAGGGGCAACGAGGGCGGGGGCC